TTCTCGGTCTGTAGCCAAGCTTTGGTGCGTGTGCACCTGGTGGAGGGGACGTGTAGAGTTCGGGTTTCGTTTAGGCAGCAAGGTGGAGGATTTGGGTTTAGTCGGTTTAGTGTTTAGGGATTAGTGTTTTCTGGGGCGGCCTGAAAGAGTGCAGCGCAGCTATTTACAGCTCCGAGGCTTGGGAAGAAAAGCACCACATCGGCATTGAGTCGGGGTTCTTGACCTTTTAGCCCAATACCCTGGCCCAAAAAAGTTTAAACTTTTCTTGTAGTAGGGGTTTAATATACCAAAGAAGTTTAAAGTTTACCTATTGGGCTCCTCAGATAATCAGTGTGGCGTTTGCTGCCTTCGCCCTCAGCTCTCGGAATGTGTTGGTCGTTTGGCATCGCTTTGGTTTAGGGTTTAGGGTTTAGGGTTTAGGGTGTAGGGTTTAGGGTTTAGGGTTTAGGGATTTAGGGTTTAGGGTTTAGGGGTTTAAAGGGGCTTATAAGGGAACCCAAAACCCCCAAACAGGGAATAAGGGCCTACTTTGCGTCCTAGACCTTGTATGCCCAGAACCAGTTCAGACTGCTTGGCGTCACTGTGCGAAATTCATGGAGCAACAAGTGTAAGGTCGTCGGGCTGCCTTAAACCCCAAAACCCCAAACCCTAAACCCCAAACCCTAAACCCGAACCTCTAAACACTAAACCCTAAACCCTAACCTCTAAACCCAAAACCCTAAACCCCAAACCCTAAAGAACAGCTCGCTTTTCTTCGCACATGACATGAGCCGAGCTGGCGGCCACAGGTCAGAGGCCAGTGTTTCCCACCCTCTTTTCCTGGGTGGGTTTAAAAAGCTGAAGTTTAGGGTTTAGAGGTTAGGGTTTAGGGCTTAGAGGTTAGGGTTTAGGGTTTAGAGGTTAGGGTTTAGGGTTTAGAGGTTAAGGTTTCGTGGCTACTTGCACTGCCCGAAGCCCGGCTGCACGCGCAGCCTCGTTGGCCTGACTTCTGAGGTTTCTCATGCCAGGAAAGTGATGAGCTCTGTTGCCGTGGTCGATCACATACGCCCGCATCTTATCGTTCTTCTGTCTGCGCAAGATCTCGAGGAATGATGCTGCTACGGAGGGGCCCCGGCTGTTGCTGTGGTCACAGTGACAGAGCACACGCTCTGCGCCCCTATGACACAGAAGATTGTAGAGGCTATCTCCATGCTCTTCCATCTCCTGTTGGCTGATGTATAAAGCTGAACCGTGGAGCAAAGAATATTCTGCCGCACAAACCACGACGTTCCGCACAGGGTCCTGTGCCACCCACTCCAATGCCGTGGATGCCGGCACCCGTTCCACGAAGGCATTGGGCACAGCCTCGGCAAGGGCCTCCATGGGAAGCTGAAGGGCATCCAGCTTCATTGAGCTTAAGGCTGGGCGTGCCTGAGCAATGGCCGGATGCTTAGACGTGCGGATGGTTTCTTCGTAAGCGGCCATTAAGGCGACTGCCTCTGTCCCTGCAAAGACAACCCGCTCAGTGCGTTCAGCCACCATTGGCAGAACCTCGGGCTCTTGCCCGAGCTCCGCCACATGGACCCGAAAGGACACAGAGAGATCCAGCTGCTTGTCGGCGAAATCGCTCATGGTCACGTTCCGTGCATCAACGAGTGCGTGGAGACGTGTGGGCGCACCCCAGCGCACGGCTGCGTGATTGTCCAGCACAGCCTCCCGAAACTCGTCGAGGAACACCAGCCTCAAGTCACAGTTGGGAAGTGCTGCTCGCAGTGGGCCCCACTGTTCGCGGTCAACGAGCAGCAATGGCTCACGACCATCGCGCAGGAGGACGGACAGCTCCTCGAATGTACGTGGCGCCGAGGCTCCAAACTCGGAGAGGTTGCCGTCATGAAGGTGCAAGCGCGTGTCCCAAGCCTCTGCGCTGGTCTGCAAGCCTGTCCGGGAGTATGGCAAATCGCCCGCATCCCACCGCGGAATCCGGGGGTCCCTCATATTGCCAGTATATGGTGGATACGGGAACGACCCCCCACACACAGCTTTGTTGCAGCAGCCCTCTCCCACCAGAGCTTTCGCCAGGTCCCCACATCGATGGTGCTTCGGTTCGGCTGCAGCTGCTTTGAAAAGTAGATGTGGCCACGCAAAGCTAAAGCATAGATCCACAGCACCAGATTCATGCTCCAAATAACCTTGGTTACACGAGGATCCATGGCACAAGCCGCTAGAAGGACAAAGTTGGATGTCAAGTCTCGGGCTCGAGATCTAAATCTGGCTCTGAATGATGCCGTGATATTATTACTTGGGGATCCTGAAATTCGGAGTATTCAAGCCTCTGTGTCAGACATGCGTCTCCTGCACCGAAATTGTCCAAGGGATCCTCACAAATCCCCATGGCACGACAACCCTAAACAGGAACCACAAGCCATGGATCGAGAAAAATGAATGCAAGGCGAACCACTGATGACAAGTGCTACCTGGCTATTCAGGGCTAGGATAACACGATCCCTAAACATTAAACCCTAAACCCTAAACCTATGGCGGGACCTGAGGACCCATCGTTGTGACTGCAAGCAACCAAACTGGCAGCACTACTCCGCTTCTGCCGGGGTGCTGGTTTTCCCCGTGCCCGGTGGTCCTTGTATGACCTCTGCGCAAGCATCTTCAAGCAGTTTGCTTGCTTGGAGGCGGCTTTCAAGATCTACTTGTAGGGTTGGTTCAGAGAACTTGCCAAAGAGGAGTTGACGAGCAGGTTGACAAGGGGCATCGGCATCGGTCTGATGCTCTAGGCAAAGCTGGAATAGGGTCTCTTGCCTGCCGCATGCAGGGGGTTCCCTCTCTGACCCGGAGGCATGAGCTTCCGTTCGGAGTCCTCTTCCACAGCCATACTTTAAGGGTTCATGTGATTCTTAAAAGCAAGGTTAGATATAAGGCAACTATGTTTATGAATACTTACATCCGCCAAAAGGGTACCCATAAGCTTAGTTAGTACGTCCCAAGATCCTCCATGTTTGGGTACCCGAAGCTCTGTCTGGATCTAAAGTCTATAGGAATACCGACTCGGCTATTATGGGGCTCTCTGGGTTGCTTTCTCGCCACCAAAACATCATTCAGAATCCCCAAACCGAAGCCGCGAGAGGCTTTATGTCGACCACGAGCCCGAAGGCCTCGAATACGCAGTTCCTTCAACAATGAGCCAAGGAAAAACTACCCTAAACCCTAAACCCTAAACCCTAAACCCTAAACCCTAAACCCTAAACAGTGAAGACCCAGAAACCCGTTGGTTGGCCACTGTACTGCAAGTAGAGAACTGAATAAACCCTAAACCCTGCACTCACCCTACAAAGCAGTCTTTAACACCCTACAAAAACCCATGCAACAATCCAAAAGAAACCCATACGCCCCTTTTTAGCCCCGAAGCCCCCCCCCACTCCTATGCAAGACCAAGCTAGGAGGCCGACATAAACTGATAACCAGCCTAGACAACCGCCAACGGTTTAGGGTTTAGGGGTTTAGGGGCCCTTCAAACCCCGAGAGCCCTGAAGCGTTGCATTCCTGGAGCTGGGAAGATGCGCAACACCCTAAACCCTAAACCTTAAAACCTTGACCCTGAACCTTAAACCCTAAACCTTAAACCCCAAACCCCTAAACCTTAAATTATTGACCCTAAAACTTAAACTCCAAAACTTAAACCCCTGAACCCCTAAACCCTAAACCCTAAAACTTACACACTAAACCTTGAAAACTAAAGCTTAAACCCTAAACCCCAAACCCCTAAACCCTAAAGCCCTGAGGCTCCAACGGTGCAAGTCTGGCTCAGCGCCGCTTTGAGAGCTTTCCTGCGTGGGGCAGGGTTTGAGGGTTTGAGGGTTTAGGGTTTAAGGGTTTGGCGTTTCGAGGTTTAGGGTTTAAGGGTTTAGGGATCTAGGGTTTAACCCTCCATCCTCAACATCGCAACCACTAAGACCCCAACACGTGGAATGTCTGGTACCTTAACCTGCCAAAACCTAGGTTCTGATTGTAAGCCCTAAGATGGAATGTATAGGGACCCTACAAAAAAAGTAGGTTCTGGTGGGTTAAGGTAGACTACATGCCCCGACACCGAATCCTGAATATCGTAACTCCAAGCTAAAACCTCTGACTCTAAACCCTCCAGCCTTACACTCTTATTGGCCCCCCTTAATCAGGGAACTCTCATGGAAGCCCTCAAAGGAACACGAAATCTTGAATCCCAGAGGAGGGGGTGCAGAATTTTTGAAGCCTCTGAGACTCGTTCATCTCCTCTGCCTGCACAGGGAAAGGCGTCACCGATGCTCTAGGGTTTTTGGTTTTGGGCTTAGGGCTTCGGGTTTAGGTTTACGGTTTCTTGGTTTTGGGTTTAGGCCTTTGGGTTTAGGGTTTTTGGTTTTGGGTTTCGGGTCGTGGGGTACATGCAGGGATCTTAGTCTTATTCAGTATTACAAGGGGAGCATTCTTACTCATTTTCCCGGTCCCCATGGTACTTGAGGTTAGTAGGTTTTTGCAGGGCTCTTAAGGTTCAGGGCATCCGGGTTTACGAGTGCGTAGGGTTTGGGGGTATTTGATATCAGGTTTCGGATTTTTGCTGTGTGCAGCAGTTTGCCACGTGCACGTTGACCGAAAGCTCCCTAAACCCTAAACCTACACCCAAAACCCTAAACTCTAAACCCAACACCCACCACCCTAAACCCTAAACCCTAAACCCTAAGCCCTTAACCC